CAGGAATTCATGGACCTCCCGATGTTTGTGGCCCAAGCTCACAGCCGACGGGGATGAAAACCTGTAGCAAATTCGATCCGGAGAACAAGCCAGAGGACGTGACGACCTGGGAGGAGAAGAGCAGCGCAGCAGATGGTCAGAAACTCGGAAGACGAGAGCGGCAACACCGGAGAAGCACGACCTGACCCGCCAGGTAGGACCGGATCTTCGCGACCCGAGATGTCAGGGAGCTCCATGTCATGGACGCCACAAGATGATGCCAGAAGGAAGGGGCTCACTGTTGGGCCGCAGTGGTCATCTGGAAGGTCTGCAGCGAGTGTCGACTTCGGCTGACCTATGTGCCGGACGGGCGTTCACCGTCAGGCGGGACCTCTTCCAAAGGACACGTCGGCGGTGCTGGAGGAGGAGATGACGAACATCAATCTGACGGAGACGAAAGAGAAGCTCAACAACAAGGCGGTGGGGCTTCGAGGAGCCGAGAAGTCGCTGAGGATCGTCTGGAGGCGGCGCAGCTGCAGAAGGCCCAGATGAAACCAAAGGCAAGGCCGGAGCACGGATATGTCAGGACGGAGACGGTGACCGCGGACACCAAGAAGGCCACGAAGCGGGAGAATGTGAACACTTCCGAAGAGGTATGGCCCGGACAAGCCGCTACTTGGTCAACAAAGGGATCGGCGGGCCGGAAGCCTTGCTTGTTCTCCCTAAATGTATTGAACAAAGGGCATGCTGCGGCATTTCGGCTTGACACCATCGACGCTCACGATGTCGCAGTTTTCCAAAGGTATAGTGCTTCTCGGCCGCCAAGGAGCTGGTTGAGGTCGCAAGCCAGACTCGCAGAAAGGAAAGGGAAACGCTGCTTGGCGTCACCCACGTGCAAGGCAGCCTTTTCTTGGGTCGCCCGCGCGCATCTTCCTCCTAGCTCGGCCTGCAACGACACGTTGCGCAACTACTTCTGTAGCGGAGTTGCTAGCGTAGAAGTTGGGCTGCTGATGACCTTGGCAGGAGGACACCGAAGGCATTATGACGCTCGAGGCTTTCCGCGTCATGGCCTGCGCGGCCGACTGGCGCCGGCCTGGGAGACCCGAAGCTGCTCGACGCGGAGCAGGTCAAGTCCACGAGACCGCAAAGATGGCGCATGTCTGTCACTACTGTGCGGCGCAAAGCCTCTGCAAGCGTGCCAAGGCGACCGAGCCGTTTGCGCCTCCGAGGGACGCATGTGCTGCACTTTTTGCTCTCAAGTGTCGCCCGACCCCAGTTTAGGATCGGGTGGCGGTGTGCGATTTGGAGCTGGAGCAGGCCTGGCATCAGGCCGCGTATGTCCAAGCACCACAGGCTACATTTGCCAGAGTCGGCGCTTCAGCTCGGCTGGCTGCATTCAACTGAGCCAAATGAGTCCAAGCATCGTGCGATCAAACGCGGGATGCTTGACGATCAGACGGGGTGCCTGGGCAACTCTGAGGTGCTGCAAAGGGCGTCTTTGGCACAACTGGGGATGTGTTGCCCTGGCTCTCGCAAGGCGGTGCGGCCCGGCAGTGTCTCATCAGCGGGGTCTCAGCGGGCAAGTCTTTGGCCTGAGGCTTCGGCTCGCGAACTGAGGCGCCGCTCTGCGCCCGT